GCCTAAAAATCGAGACTCCTCATTAGATTTTAGTAATGTCGTCGGGATTGGCGAAAAATGCAAATTTGACAAACGGGAATAACGCAATTTGCTCGATTGCCATTGCAAATACAACTTAACTTTATCAACAATGCCACGACAGAATGTGAAATTAGCATTTCATTTGTGTGAGACAAGAGCACTCATGGCGGTGTACTGCATTGCTTAACGTGTTGAGATTATACGCCGGACTACCACAACTCGGTTTCGAGTCTCGCTGCGGCTGTTGATGAGGCCAATTTCGGTGAGGTCGAAACTGCAGTCCACTTTCGCCTGGATGGGTCTACTTTTTGAGAATCTAGGCTGACAAATTGAGTGGAAATATGTGGTAAAATTCAACTACCAGTCATCGAAATAGGGTGAATACACGACAAATATATGATCTGATGTTATTTTCTAAAACCTACATATAAACCGAAAACCTACAATCTACGAGGTTTATAGACAAGTAGTGAGTTCAAATTGCTTAATAACTTTAGACCTAAAATTCGAGTTATCTAACCTCTTGAAGCCTACTCACTACGTTCCAGTAACGTTGTCAAGGTTAGTGTAAAATGCAGGTTTGCAAAGTGTGATTTGCAAGAAGCTCGCTTTGTTGTCGATTGATGCACACGACCAGGTTTCGAAGCGCTTTGTGGGTGCTCATGAAAGACTAAAGTCCATATTGGATGAGACAGCCCTTGTGGGCAGCAGAGCATTGTGAGATGAAAGTGGCTACAGGAAGTCCACTCATTGCATTGCGGCAAGAGTGAACTGTCGTTTTGACCCAAAAGAGAGCTAGAATTGTGGGCTCTTCCGGCTGGCTATCTCGTAGAATCTCACCGGCTCTGCCGCAGGCCTCATCGGGACCGGGAGCTCAGCATCACCCGGAAGTGTTGCTGCGACGGGTCCGATGCGATCTCTTGGCTCTCGCCGTTGTCGTGAGAGACGGAATCCCTGCAGAAAGGGCCGCCTAAATGCGATAGTCTGCCTCGCCTGACTGATCTCTCGCTCCAGTTTGGCCGTGTTCGGGCCGTGTCCGGAAGGAGAAGAAGCAAGTGAAGCATGCATGCAGCCTGTGTCAACGTCATGCGAGAACGCTAGCAGACCAGCCAAGAGAGGCCTTCAGTGACCCGTGACGACGGCGACTGGGGCGAGAGATAAAAAGCTCTGAAATGGCCAAGTTTGGCAGAATACGAAAAATGGGAAACCGGTTCACATTTCCCAAATGCCAACGCACAACTGCCGTCATTTGTTTACTCTCGGCTGTGGCGGGGACGTCGACTTTTTGCAGAAGTGGGTCTGGCTGGAGGTCTGATGGCCGGACGGGTTGGCTCAACCATTGGGTTGCCCGGCCAGCCAACCTCGCCCAAAATGACATCGGCTACATGACAGGCCGCAAACTGCATTGTCTCAAGTGAATGTATGCTTGCATCGGGTGGGCAGATGTACCGGCCTGCTGGCGGGAGTAGAAGAGGGACGGAATGCGTGGACCGAGATGGCGACTACTTGAAACAGGCCTCTTTCTTGAGGCAATATCTGTTGCCAAGACTTGACCTCTCTGAAGGGCTGCTGACAAATTGGACGGAAAACCAACAGACAGGAGAGTTGCCATTTCGATTGGATGAGCACGGCTCTGCTAATTTGAGGGGAAACACACGATTTTGCCGACTCTTATGTACAAGATATGGTGGCCGGGCAAATCCACTTGAAAGCCTAGATTGTTAGTGCAGAGACGAGATCAGAAAATGCAAAAATAAAAGACACGAATGGCAAGTCTGGGCCATACTAAACATGTTGTAATGGCCTCAACAATTGTCGACCCCGATCATCTTATGGTTCGACAAGACGACATGCTTCTAAAGGAACTTTTAATGGAAGACGACAATTCTGCCCAAAACCACGTTGAGTGGGAGTGATCAACATTACGAACTTCGGATGAACAACTCTTTCCTTCTACTGGCCATGACGAGTCGGCCTGTGCTGGTGTGAATCACAATTTCGCAACTCGAACCTTCGATGCGCGAGTTGTCTTGTACCGAAAGCACGACTGTCAAGACAAATCGTGATACAACTGAGTTGAGAAGCTGGTGGTTCTTCACAAGGTCTGTCATGTTCGATTGCTTTCATCTCGGCAATCCAAAATGCATCCTTCCAAACCGGTACCGGTTGGCAGCGCTCAGTATTCTAACAGCAGAACAAAAGCAATTGCCATTAATTATTGGCAATAATTGCGTATGCGAGTTGGTGCAAGTTCACTTTGAATAATTCCTTTCCAGACAGGCTTCAGCATATTTTGGCTGGTTACTAAGTACACTTGAACTCACGTCTAT